ATATATATATATATATATATATATATATATCTATATATATATATATATATATATATATATATATATATATATATATATATATATATATATATATAGATATATATATATATATATATATATATATATATATATATATATATATATATATATATGTATGTATATATATCTCTCTCTATCTCTCTATATATATATATATATATATATATATATATATATCTATATATATATATATATATATATATATATATATATATATATATATATATATATATATATATATATATATATATATATATATATATATATATATATATATATATATATATATATATATATATATATATATATATATATATATATATATATATATATATATATATATATATATATATATATATATATATATATATATATATATATATATATATATATATATATATATATATATATATATATATATATATATATATATATATATATATATATATATATATATATATATATATATATATATATATATATATATATATATATATATATATATATATATATATATATATATATATATATATATATATATATATATATATATATATATATATATATATATATATATATATATATATATATATATATATATATATATATATATTCATAGTGAATTGTTTACAAATATCTTGTGACATAAAATTCAACTTAAATGACTCAAAGACACAAACACTTTTCCGCGTGAACATTTTAGTGCAGTTAAAAACTAGCCTAAAGTGCCATCAGCTGTTAAAAATTATACTCAAGAATAGCAAACTGAACAGAAAGAATAGCGATTGTATTTTGTTAATTTTAGAATCAAAGATCTGATTTCTTGAACAACTTTTTGCTAAAGCTCTAATGACTACATACCTAAGACATGCTTCACGCAAGCATGAAGTCACCATTTTCAAAGATTCCCATATTGGGTGTTTACACAGAAACAATAAGAATAGAGTTTTCAAAAACTTGCACTTTGACACCCACTTTTCAAAAAAAATACATAAAACATAATATTTTTGGCTGAAACCACTGTCATTAAATAGAAGAAAAGCTTCAGTTCCAAAAGGTTGAACATCCTTCAGATTTTCACCCAATCAGTTTCAGCAGTTTCTACTAAGTCAGAAGACCTTGATTAACTTGTTCATGTGTGTCTAATTAGGGTAGGAGCTCAACTGTGCAGTACAGTACAATAAAGTACAGTACAATGCAGTGCAGTCCAGATTTGAACACCCCTTATCTAAAGCCCTTAGGACGACGGAGTTCCAGGATCAGTGTGCTTAATCTATCTCAAGAAAATATGGTCCATCTAAAAAATTAATATGTATTTAATTTGAGAATGTCACCAAAAGGGTATGAGCTCCAAAGTTATTTGAAGTGATAGAGGACAACTGTATTAATAAATGTGGCAATGTCTTTGGTTCATAACTCCACAACTTTTCGGGATGACTTACAAATGTGTACTTGATTAACATATACTTACTCCCAGAACTCAGTGACGGGGGACGTGAAGTTAGTGGCGTTCGCAGCTGCCCAGAGTGTCTTGTTCCTGCGGAGAGTATCCTCAACACAGTTTTCTGTGTTCCACTTGTTGTTGCAGCTTGCCCAGGGGAGCTCGGGCTGAAAGCACTGGAACAGGTAGTACAAGCCCCAGGCCAGGATCACAATGTAGTAGATGTTCAGCAGAGAAACGATCACGATGGATGCATAGCCAATACCTGGTACAAAGACAGGAGTGCCGACATTAAGCCAATGCCACACTGACCTGCCTCAGTGTGTGGTAGATCATTGTGATCATTGAGTTATTTTATTATAACCTCAATGAAAGCAATGAAATAAGTTGTGCTCCAGCAGAGCGCGAGAATGGTTAAATAAGTCACAAATTTATATGAGACCTTCTTGTCCTTGTAATATAAACATAGAACAATCTTATCCAAGGTTGGAGGAAAATGATGTAAGTCACTGGTTCAGAGTCTGATCTTTCATAAATTAATATTGGCCAGATTGCCTGGAAAGCTAAGCAGACCAAATCTGTCACCTCGTTCACTGGCAAAGGGATTTGAGTAATTCAGCACTTTGGATTTAATAACTGCTCATCAGTAAACTCTGTTTAAATAAGTAATGAATCAGCAGAATATGCGGTCAGAAGGAATTATTTTGAGGTTTGAAATGCTCTCTTATATAACATATATTGCTGGAGCAATAAGCTGGGCAAATTTCACTGAATCAATCTTGGTTTTGGTGCCCTTTTAAGGGAACAACATTGATCTTTGTGGGGCACAAACCACCAACCTTCTGATTATTAGATCTCAGCTTTATTCAGTTCACCACACAAGCTGAAGAGCTGTCCAGTTATGCAAGCCACTGTTCATGAGCAGCGGCCTGTTTTAGCAATGCACAGACTGACAGCTGCTGATGTGACCCTGCCTCTGCTAGCCTGAAAATGAAACTACTATAAGTCCCTAGAGTTGGAAGAAGACAGCCTGCAATTAACAGACTGCTTACATTAAAATACACCAAATGCTGGCTGCTTTGACAGGTTTCCATTTCACTCAGCAGCATTGCAATGCTGTTGCCAATATAGAAATATTCTATTTTATCAAATTTGACCAGAACTTGAACGAGTTCATGTTGAAGTGCTTCTTCTTCTTCTTTTCTGATTTGGCATTAAAAATGACTTCGCTATCAGACACCCCAGATGAAACCTGTGTTGCAGAGCCTATCTTCAGATACAGCTGGTGGTATCTGTGACACACCTCCCACCCTGTGTCCTTAGCAAAGGGGTCAGGGTGGCTGCCATGGCCCTATTTTCCCCTACTGGTAGATGTCGTAACTACACCATTTGGCAGCGAAAAAAATACTGTATGCTTCTCCATTGACAGCCGTTTAAAAAAGCACTGTCAAAAAGACTTAATACTTACCGCAAACCGCATAAGGTTTTGTTGCATTGCTAGATTAAATGTTATATTGAATGGTTTAAATTAAATTAAATGTGTTTTAATGGTTAGACTATGTTTTAAGGTACAACTCTATCTTTTAACAACTCATTATCTATGCCTTTTAACTCCATAAACTCCTAACTTGCTGCATATTAATAGTTATTAATGTAGTAGTTTAGTAGTTTGAGTAGTTTGACCATTGAGTTGTGTTTAGGTATTGAGTGGGATTGGGATCTAGAACAAGATCATGCGGAATGTGTACTTCATAAGTACTTAAAAATGGCCGATATCCTTATAATACTAAATCACAAGGAAATAAGCCACGTTAATAGTGAGAATTGGTCACTATACTAAAATTTTACTATTTTAATTTTTATTTTTTTGGCAAACAAACTTAAAAACATACCTGTGAATATAGGACAAAGTTTCTCCCAACAGGTGATTCCTCCCTCAGAGGTGAACTGACCAAGAGCCACCTCCAGGAAGAACACGGGCAGTCCTCCGCCGAACAGGAAAATGAAGTATGGGATGAGAAAAGCACCTAAATGGAGCCAAGAGAACATTCACTTAATTCTGTCAATTATTATGATCATTTACCAGCTGGATTATTATTCAACTCCTACTTCCTATGGAGTTCAATGCTTTGACACAAATTCTCATTATTATTATTATTATTATTATTAATTACTTTTATTTTGTACTTAGGTTGTTGCATTGTGAAGTATGTGGAGGTTCAAAGGATTCTCTTTTTAAAAATGCCTTAAATGGAAGATCTCTAAGGTGTATCTGCTAATCTGAGAGTGTATTAATAATTAAGCCTTAAAGAATGTCTATCTTACTCGCACCATCAAACTTCAAGGAAGCACCATAAAAGTTCTTAAATATCAATTTATTGAAAATGCATTGTCACTGCTCATGGGTCATTTAATGAAGTCCTTTCATCACACATTTTCACATAGTAATAAAAAACATGAAATGGCATAAAGAGTCGTAAAGGCTTCAATTTTGAAAATGTTGAAAAGAGCAGCTTTGACAACGTCTTCTTCACTTTAAAAAGTTACTAAAACAGTGAGTAAACTCTTTGCCCTATAAAGAATACTCTAGTTTTTGGAAATTGGCTCATTTTAGAAATAACCTAGAGTTAAACAGTTGGGGTTTATAATTTTTTATATCCATTTAGTGCATGGGAGCCCAAACTCTGTCCCAGAGGGCCGGTGTCCTGAATAGTGTAGCTCCATCTTCCTTTAACACACCTGTATGGAAGTTTCTAGTATACCTATAGATGTCTAGGAACCATACTCTCATTTGGCAAAATGATTAAGAAACTTTGCTGCCATACCTGAAAATAGTCCCCAGCTAGTTAACTAGGTACCAACACTTTGTAATATCGTTGTGCCTGCAGCAGCCATGGCATGGCAGCTAAGTTCCATGATTGTTTTGCCAGCATTAGACTATAGTACCTATACGTATCAGCCTGGAAAACAGCAACTTTTCATTTTCCATCAGTCTTAGTACACAATTTAACTATAAAAGACTCAAGATTAAAAAGGACATTTATTGAAACTCTTTTTTTAAATTTTTGAGCGAGATGCTAATGGTCGATTCAATGCTAAGCTAAGCTAAAAAGGTTTCGAGAGATAGCTGAATGGATTAAAAAATTGTAACACAACTGTTTAACTGTGACCGTAACAGTAAAATTGAGCCTATTCCCCAAAAAGTGGAGTGTTCCTTTAAAATGAAGTAAATCAACTGTGTGCATAATAAAAAAAAAATTAGTAACTCAACAGTTCCATGTTACGATGAGTTTACTCACTTTAATTAAAGTCAATTTGTTGCTTTGAAGGCATTGGATTTTCCCCTCTTTTTTAAAGTATCAAACGTATCAAACATGGTTTTACAGTCTCATTTGTCCTAATTAAGAACAATAAAACAATGAGTAAATGATGACCTTTTTTATTCATCCCATTTGTGTCCTTGAAGCTGATTAAACAAAATTATGTAAAGTTTTTACGACTGTTGCTTTGAAGGTCAAAGTCCAAAAGTACCAACAAATCTACTCACCTCCGCCATTCTTGTAGCAGAGGTACGGGAACCGCCAAACGTTGCCTAAACCAACGAAACCCCCGGCGACTGACAGAAGAAAGTCAAGCTTGCTAGCCCACTTTTCCCTTTGGGGGTGTTTTCCTTCGGCTTCATCCTCCGGCCTGGTGCCCGGGCTCTTTCCCGGGGAGGGTTTTAGAATGTCTTTGTGAAAGTCCTTTAGACACTGGAGTTTCTCCTTCTGAGCCATGCTAAAAGACAAGAACAAAGGGTCAAAATCCTTGAATGAACCCCAAAGGCCTTGAGTTCAGACATCAAGAAGATCACATAGCATTCTGTTTCCTAAAACATTTATAACTGGGACAAACATGCATAGTTAATTTAGAGCAGTCCCTTTGCAAGGCCTGAGAAATGTTCACACAAGAGGATAATGTGATGGTTAACGTGATTAAAGCAACAGCGGCTTTGTGTGGTTTGATCACAGGAAGTCTTCATGTATGGCATAACTGCAAGCACTGTTTTAAGATTGTCTTGATACTTAGTACAATAACCTAGCTACACTAATAGCATAATAAATGTAGCTGTTAAACTGATAAGAATCGTTTGCTCTCTTCGCTGCTTGTGAAGTGTGTCTGTAGTCAACACAAAATGATGCTAAAAGATAACCACAATGGCCCATGAGTAAGAAAACACATCAGCATTAAATACAAACAAGTTTGGAGTCAGCATGAAATCAATACTGACGCAGGTTTTGTTTTCAAAGAAAGTCCTTTAGTCGTTTTTATTTGTATTTGACATTACTGTAAAACAGGACTAATCAAATCAGTTCCCCATGTATAAATAGCCTGTAATACATCACGTTACGCCTTGGAAAAAAACCTGAATGCAGTCACGCACATAAATAAAAGGCGATTTAATAAAAACGACTTAATTCATTCACTGCGCTTTTGCTGCAGAACCTTCTATGCGTTTATCCGACCCATGTTTCCTTTAACTAACACACTGTTTACGCTGTCAGAATTCTATTCAAAGGATGGAGTAATTATGTCAGGCATGGCGTCTTCTGTTTCAAAGCACGAGCCAAACTTGCCATGGAGCCCCTAAGATGAATCCCACAGAGTAAGATACCAAAGTCAGCTCCAACATCTCTACCCGTTCCAGACTCCCTTACAGCTTGGCAATGCTTGAACAAACTATAGCCCCACTGTGAGGGGGAAAAATCCTCAGTGTGTTTGACAATCAGTAAATACATGTGTATTCTCTTTTCCGCTGCTTTACTAAACACACGCCTTAATAAACATGTTAATTAGTGTGGCGGCAGGCCAGGACTTAAAATATAATCTGTAGCTGTTTTCCGGACAGCAGTTAAATAATGTTTAAATGGCATTCGGATGTCTTAAGGTTGGTTAATACTTTGAGAATTGGAGTGTTTTTTTACAACACTAAATGGTTTCCGTGTAACGGAAGCATCTCTGTTATATCGCTGATTTTAGCACACGAGACAGTTATACAATAGCTGAAAGCACTTAGATAGGTTTAAAAAGTTCAAGAAATTACCATCATCCTCTTGAGGTAGGTTAAATCTGTGCGCTTCAAAAGCTTAGGAGCTCACTACAACTCAAACATGTTCCGTTACATAACCGGAGTGAAATCCTCCAGATACTTTATATTTCCACTCAAAATGATGACAAACGTCACTGGCCGGGAGTCAAAGCAAGCAAACTATTGGGTTTATAAAACATGACTCAACTAGTGGTTTGATTTAAAGCGAACTGCCGTATAATATATAGCCAATATAAATGTAACATTACAATGTAATATAAATATAATGTAAACACTGTTCAGTTATAAACATTTCTAACATAGCATCTAGTAACCAAACCTAATTGCAAATAGGTTTGTCACAACAGTCATTATATCGATTAAACGTGCAAAACACCATGTTTACATTAAAAGTCGCCAACATTTTGACTATTTTTTATTTTGGATCAGACAAGTCCAGAACAAAGGATTTGCTGATGCTAAAATGCCTAAAAATGGCACACACTGCTGTAATGTGGTGACAATTTGACTTATGTCGTATTTTGACAAATTCACAGCCTACTTTGAGACCCTGACTATCAACTTATCGAGTAATACATCATGTTTACATTAAAAAGTCACCAACATTTTAGCTGATTGCGCAGCCTCTGCCATTTAATATTACTGACAGGTTTTTCAATTTTGCTGAAAACTACTGACGAATTGGAAGTCGCAGTCAACTTCCCGAAAAAAGGGATGGCGCAAAACCTAAATGTGCAAAATATACAAGTAAACTGATGAAAACGCAATTTTAATGGATATTAATATTCTACATCATCAGTGTCAAAAGTTTATAGTATGAGATTTATTTATTTTATTTAAATTATAGAATCGAAATAACCTCCAGAAAGAATCGTTGTATAATCATATACATAGAGGCATAAAACAAGTCTTAAAATAACATTAATATTAAATATCGCAATAATTTCAAACAATATAATCGCACCGCAATAAATATTTACCTTTACAAACCTAACTACAAACACCAATGACCTGACGACTTTCCAAATAAACAACTAAACAATCTCTCAATTCAAGAACTGCCTTTCACTTACATGTCCTTCATGGCTGAATCCAATAGGTTTATGTTGTTCTCTCAGCAGACACCATACCTCTGACCACACGGCCTCAATCTCTCCAGAGCTCAGTGTAAGCCGAGGTGACACCACGACCCGCCCACAGACTAAGACAATTAAAAGTAATCAGTAGATTGGTCGCAGAGGATAACCTGTGCAGCAGTCGGCTCGATGGTAAATTTCCACTCCCCAGAAAGCGTCAGAGGTCTATCTGAAACTATTTATCTTTGCATGTGCGCCGTCCACTTGTGGCAACCTGAGCCGCAGACGCGACAAACAAGAGCATGTGGACGGCAATCCACACCTCCGCTGCATTTCACTAGAACAGCTGATGGTTTCCAGACTGTTGTCGAGTCTCCTGCCATTAATAGCTTTTCCTTTCAAGACCAGCAGCTTAGATGAGCACGCTTTACCAAGTAGTCAAAGGACTCAAAGTATAATTAGGGTCTTTTTAAAAAAAAAAAAAAAAAGGAGGACAATATTTGTCTGACTGACAAATCTGAATTAGATTCCGGTCAGTAGCGAAGCAAACACAAGGCCATGTGCATTTGCATAGGGCTAAATGTGGCAAGTAACAAAAGGCTATTGTATGACTTGTTCTCCTCAGCCTTTTGCCTTTGGCAGAACAGCCTTGATAATGGGACAATGGCAATTTGTGCTCGCAGGACCATTTTTTATAGAAATTTTGGATCAGGCAACTACAGAACAAAGGATCGGCTGGTGCTAAAAGGTCTAAAAATGGCACACAGTTCGGGAATGTGGTGACAATTTTGACTCATACAGCCTACTTTGAGACACTGACTAGTTTTGTTTGATTCCCATTTAGAAACAACAGCACAGAGCTGGTCCACAATATCAAATGGTTTCCTTTCAATAGACAAAGGAGAAGCTTAACTCCTGAATCCTCAATCAATTTGTATAGCACCCTAAATGGATGTGATCTGTTCTTCCGCATCTGTGCATCTCATAGCCTGTGGCTGTCAAAGTCTTGTTTGGCCATCAACTTTATCATCTAGCTGAAAGGCAGGAATGATCGCTTCATAGTCTTGACTATCGAGGAAGGCTTCAGGTCTAGAGTCAGCACGAGGCACTTGGCTCATTACGTAACCGTCCCTATTTTAGACCCATGTACATTTCCTGAGTGCTCTCACATTAAATTCCCGTCTTTACTCACTCGTTCCAGCACATAAACGGAGATCAGAGCATTAGAAGCACACCCTTAGCTGTGCATGTAAACCTCACAATGAAGCAGTTGATGCATGAAACGTTATGAACAGTAAATGTCATGAACGTTAAATGTCAGTTGTTAACAGCGGAGTTTAAACCCCTTTAACTTGTGCACGATCTATGACGTGATGCATTGTGCTAGTCCACTAATTGCTGAAGGTCAAGACACTTATATTTGCGTCGTGTCACTGGGCTCCCAAGGTGGAACAGTTGACAAGGTAGTCCCATTTACGATTATTATTCAACTGACCCCCCCAAGCACCCCCTTGCAGTCCCAAGGCGGTCCTTGGATCAAGTTTAATAGCCGTGCTTTATTGTACATGACATCACAAACAAACACAAAAACTTGTCTCTGTGGATTCGGGGTCATTGTGTTGGCTATGAAATATAGTTAAGAGAAAATCCAAGTAAATATTGTCAGTTCTTGGGGAGGCAATGTTAGGCACTAGTATAAGGAAACCTAAGGTGGTGTTTGATAATTAAATGGTATTCACTGTAGGCTTGCGTGTTCGTCTTAATGTAAAGACATCCATTCAAGTATGCTGTGATCTATCTAAAATAACACGCTTTACCGGTTTACATGCAACAAACCAATAGCCTGATAATGTAAGCAAGCCAGGTAACATATGTGTTGATGTATTGTACTTACTAGCTTAATAGCTCTATTTTAGCTTATAGATAATAGTTATATTGCATTTTTATAGCTAATAGTTCTATGTTATGCAATTTTATATACTAAATCAGCGTTAAAAATTCTTTTTCTGAATATATATATATATATATATATATATATATATATATATATATATATATATGTGTGTGTGTGTGTGTATGTATGCATGTATGTATGTATGTATGTATGTATATATATATATATATATATATATATAT